CCTGCTGAAATCATTCTACTTTGCATGGAATAATTAAGTGGGTTTCCATCTTACTTAACTATAATTATTCATGGGAGCAAGGAGTGGAACCCAGGTCACTCCCCATCTATGCAAGTACCCTAACCACTAGGACAGAGTCTCTGCTTACCTTAGACCACTTATTCCATGTTGGCTGGAAAAGTTTTACCAGGAGGGATAAAATCATCTTTCCCCACCCCAAAAGATAACCCAGCCTATGATCCTGTGGTACAGGCACTCTGCTGGTGGGGAATCCTCTCAAGTAAGAATCTAGGACTCCCACATCCTAATTATGTACTCCAACCAGCAAGTTATTAGGGGGAAATGGATCACCACCTCCTCTGGCTGCTTTTGTGCAGAGTTTGATCATGCAGACATGCTCTGAAAATATATGTTATATTTGGCGCTGTAGACAAGACAGAAGATTGGGCATCTCAGAGCATGAGATGAGTGCTCAGCTGCTCAGCCAGCATTAGGACATTCCAGGAAGTTTGCAGAGAACTGGCAAAAGCTGAGGTCCCTAGGGATTTGGGGTGCTTTTGGGATCAGGCATCAGCTGAACTTGAGTTCTGAAGATTGCACTTTTGATTTGAGGTGCCAAAAATTGGAGTTAGCAGGGCCTTGAGCCCCTAAGGCCTGATCAAGCCTGTTTTGGCCAGTGTCCCATCCACTCTCCTATAAAGCAGCAAGGGGGAAAAAGCAAACAAAATGAAGAATTTCCAAAAACTCCAAAATAAGGCCATGGCAAACTAGAATCAGCTTGAAGACCTGGTGTGCAGAATCCCTCTGCCTCCCTGCCACAGTCTGCCTCGCTATGCTCATTTCTTACAGTGTGATTACTGTTAGGCCTTGATCAAGAAAATGCTTGAGCATAATAAAGCATGTGGTGCCATTGATTTCCAGTCAAAACATGCAATTGATGACCTTACTGAGTTGGGGCATAAGAGCATAATCTCCTTGGGACAAGAAGTATTTCTCATTTTAATTATTCTGATAATTATTTTAATGTATATAGCTCTACAGCACTGTGCATTTTTGGCATTTATTCAATAAATAACAAAAATATAGCATTCACCAAGGGATTACCACAGGGGTTTTAACTGCCTTGTTAGCACAGTTACATCCTACACCTCTGTTTAGGACAATTTTCCCTTTTGTCCCCTGATAAAGTTTAAAGGACCAGAATAAAAATCAGGAACCTGAGTCACATCTCAAGTTCTCCCATGTAATTCCACTGACTTCAGCAGAAGGGGTCTACTATTATATAGAACAGATCACACAAAAGTGATTTTCATGGATGCAAATGAAATCAGGATCAGATTCTGGATGGAGTATCCATTAGAATCAATCACTGACATTCTTGTCTTCTGTAGACAAAGGGTATCTTTCTGCCCTGTGTTTAATTCAGGCACCCTGGTTCTTTCACCTTCTCCCAAAGATCAATATCCAAGAAAGAAGGCAGGAAACCAGCTGCATGCATTAGACAACACAGAAGGCTGTATGGAATATTCAGCTACATCCTCCACATATAAGGTTTAAAAAAATGATTAGTTGCACCTATCTTATGTGCATTTAAATAAAACGCATAAGACTGATATGATGCAATGACACCTTGCACCCTGTTCTGGAATGTACTGGAGCCCAACACTGCCAAATGTATACTGTACCTCCCAGTCCAGGACTGAGGCCTGCCACTGAGCTATCTTGTCAATGTTCTCCAGTCTCCGTTTTCGCTCATTGATCTGTTGAGTCACGTTTCTCATGACTGCAAGTGCAGCAGCCACGTACCTGTAGTCACTGGAAAAGACAAAAAGGAGTACATGAAGTGACACCTGGCATGCAGTGGACATGTACAGGAGTCTGTCAACATTAATAGCGTTACTGAAAGACCACTTGGAAAAGATCATCGGGATTTGGCACCTGTTGCTACTACTGATACAGCTCTTCCTCCACCATTGGCTTTTTTTCTATTGTCCCCCAAAATTACCTTATTTCAAACTAAGACTGAATGAGAGAGAGAGAGAAACATGAGTAATATTAACTGGCCAGTAACATAGCAACTTAGCTCCTGTATATCAACGCAGTTCCACTGGTGTCAGTGGAGCTGTACCCATTGACAGCAGGCATAGGTCTCCCCCTGTAAGTGCTAAAGGTTCCTGGGCCATCTAAACATTCCTAACTCCAACAGATGCTGGGAGACCTCAAGCTGTGCTCCTGGGTTTTCCACTTTTTAAGGAAGAGTTGAATTTTTAATTTTTTTTAAACTTTATTCCTTAATAAAACTTGTTTCCCTATCACATTGATTTATAAGGAACGAATATGATGCCCCAAAGACACTTCTGAACACATCGTTCTCAGGTCATCTGGGATAGAACGGGTTAGTTCTGCAATCAAATTATATGGATGAGTAATATGAGCAATTGTTTTTCTCTGTGTATATATGTGTGTGTACATATCAATAGATAGATAGATAGATAGATAGATAGATCTATCTACAGATGAACGCCTAAATTTTTATAGCTCCAAATGAGATGTCTGACTATCTTGTCCTGGCATATCACTGCTCTTGACATGTGTAAAGTCAGGACAAAATATTGGGAATGTAACGCTCTATCCTCTCAGTCTATTCTTGCAAGTCCTGGCTAAGGACTTTACTGGCCTTAATGTTTGCCTATGCTTGGCTTTGAATAACAAAACGAAGTGTGTTTACTGGAGCCCTAAAAGAATCGTCTGTCACTATAAGGTTGCATGCAGTCTCATAACTCATTACATCAGGATTGAGTGCAGATGTAACTAACTTGGTCAGCAAAGAATACACGATAAGTAATTGATCTTACAATCCTTAAGACATAAGGCTGGAAACTAATCTGTTCGGCTGTGACAGGCTCCTTCCCGACCACAGAGACACTCAAAAGAGTGGTGCACAACATTTATGCTGTAGCATTTGCTCATACTGCAGATGCTATGTGGGCAAATCAAAGCAATTCTTTTTTGCTTCCTGGACATGCATGTGTGTGAGTTTAATAACATAGAGTGAAAATAGCCTCCCATCAGGGCCAGCAAGGATGATGATCAGTCTTTTCAAAAAGTGATGCTGAAATCAATGCTATTGATTTCCACCTTGTGCCTTATTTTCCATTTCAGGAGACCTTAATGCTCATTTAATTTGGAAAGACAGACAAGGCCAGCTGCCATAATGTTGCCATAATTTATGATTAACTTAAGGGTTGATATTGACTGCTGACTAATGAGAAAAATGGAGATCACCGGCAGCTGCAGAGGAAATGGCTCTATTGGTTATTGCTCAGGATCCCACTGGTGGTGTTTAGAACAGACCACAAAAACTTTGTGTTCTAGTAAATCTCTATATCCTCTTTCTCTGGCCTACACAAAGCATACCCCATATAAGGAGAGTCATTTATAGACCAAGACTGACTTCTACTCTCCCTGGTGTCATCACGCTGTTCATTACATTAAAGAAATAGCCTGTCAATTTCAGTCAACTCCACTGTTATTGCTGTAATATACTACGCTAGGAATTTTTGTGATAGGATTTTCTTCAAGATCTGCAGACTTTTAAGTTTAGAGCAATAAATACCTCAATTCTGGATAATGAAAACTACCAATCCACTTATAGTTCACAGTTTCTCTCATCTGACACACTCCTAGAGAGAGAAACTATCATACCACCTTAATAGGTAACCTAGGTAGGGAAGAAATGTAGAAGTTATTGCAATAAATTACATTGCATTATTTTGTGTTTTATTTTAACATTATTATGGGATCAAATACTAAGGTCCTTTTTCAGTGCTTGCTTGGCCATTAGGCCAAGTAGGTAACTCACCACCTGAACACAAGAGAGCAGGTTGACATTGTATAAATAGACTTCCAAAAGGCCTTTGATCTAGTATCCCAAAATGTCCTCACGAGAAAATTGGAGGATTGCGGGTTTAACTCTGAGGCAATCAGGTGGGTGAGCAACTGGCTGCAGGATAGGACCCCGAGAGTCTTAGTGAATGGATCTGTATCATCGTGGCAAGAAGTGGGCAGCGGTGTTCCGCTGGGGTCGATGCTCGGTCCAGTACTTTTTAACGTCTTTATTAACGACTTGGATGTGGGGGTGAAGAGCTCACTGGCCAAGTTTGTGGATGACACCAAGTTATGGGGAGTGTGGTCACGCTTGAAGGTAGGCTGCAGATACAGGCGGACCTAGACAGGTTGGCAAGTTGGACGGATCGGAACCTGATGAAGTGCACTGTTGAAAAATGTAAAGTGCTCCACCTCAGGATGAGCAACCCCCAACACACCTACAGGCTTGGCAGCGCAATGCTGTAGCCAGTAGGGCAAATAATACTCTAGCATGCATAAATCAATGCATCTCCAGCAAAGCCAAGGACGTGATTCTTCTGCTCTACTCAGCACTGGTGAGACCACAACTGGAGTACTGTGTGCAATTCAGGGCACTACACTTTAACAAGGATGTGGACAAGCTTGAGAGAGTCCAAAGAAGAGCCACCCAATATGGTCAGAGTCTTAAAAGGAAAGCCATATGAGGAAAGGCTGAGGGATCTGGGACTCTTCAGCCTGAAGAAAAGAAGACTGAGAGAGGACCTGGTAGCTTACAGCTACACTAGGGGAGTACATCAAGGGCTCAGTGAGCAATCGTTCACCAGGGCATCCAAGGGGAAAACCAGGAGTAATAGCCACAAACTTCTGGAAGATCGACTCAGGCTCAACATTAGGAAAAACTTCATAGTCAGGGTGTCCAGACTGTGAAATAAGCTCCCTCCAGAGGTGGTGCAGTCACCTACCCTGGAAATCTTCAAGATGAGACTGGACGTTAACCTCGGTGGGGTCACCTGACCCCCAGTTATCTTTCCTGCTTGGTGCAGCGGGCTGGACCTGATGATTTTCCGTGGTCCCTTCCGGCCTTACAATCTATGAATCTAGGCAATACCCTGGCCAACTCCACAAGACCCCTACTGATTCCAAACCTAGCGAGTGAACGGTTTTGGTCTTTTACTACAAAGAGATGGTGGATGGAGAGGATGCTTTCAGGAGAGGAATATGTGTAGGTAGATGGTGAAAAGTTGCTAAGCTAATGCTTTTAAGGACCTTTTAGTATTTATCATGAATGTGTGTGTGGGTGTGTGAACATAGGGGAAGCCATGCTATAATGGAGACAGTTATATAGTCTTTTAAATATTTGTGTATTCTGATCATAGAAAATTGCTTATGTGAGGACTGAGAGAGGAGTAAAGATAAGGAACGGTGCATGGCTTATGCAAACAGGGTCATAGCTGCGCCTCTGGCAGTTATACTCATGCAAAAGTGGTGCATGGCCATAAGGGTAACTAACTTGGGTGCATAGATTAGAACAGTCTCACACTAAACTCAGACTCAGATCTCAGGCACTGGTCTCTCAACAACACGACATTACCAGTGTAGAAATGAAATTTTTAAAGCAAGCTGACATTGCCAATAACCTGACAATAGACACAGATGACAGATGAGGTTGGGTCAGGCACTAGGTATTACCTATACAATGAAAAGATATTACATTTTTATTAAAAAACAAAACAACAAACACAAAATTTTTAAAGGGCTCTTAATGTCAAATGGACAGGAAAACCTCAGGGCATCTTTTATCCCAAGCCAACTCCCTCTTTTAAATCTCATCTGTTTTTACATTCCTCACTGAGGAACTTGATGAAACTGCTAGGCAGTGGCCTTTGCAAGGCCAGGTGCTCAGGAGGCAATGTTACACTTATAACCTTCAAATATTCCATTCGTATTAAATGGTGTAAATCTTGAGAAGCTGAACAGATGTGCCTTTGTGAAAAATTCAGATGAATCAGCCCAGAGACAATGAACAACTGAACAGAGCCAAGTTTTGAAACTATTCCTACTCCTGCACCCATGTGGAGGGGGCTGGTGCCAAATCGAGCTGGGTTTTATTCTGGTAATGCTAATTCACTAATTCTAATGTTCCTTTTGAAGAGGAACCAACATGTGCATTTTTTCTTCCGTGCGTTAATAAAGCAAGAATCACTGATTGAACTTTTTGGGCTCTCAGCCCATGTCTGCGGGTGAGCCGCCAAAGAACCTGGATGAAAAATGGCAGAAGCAAAGCTTTTGGCTTGTGGATTAATATTGGGATAGCGTTAAAAATAAAATTAAAGGTCAATAAATTGCTTGTCGATTATATTTGGGATACAATGGCTTCCTTTCAGGGCTCCATCAAGATGTAAGTGTAGACTTCTGTCAAATTGCCATGTGCTAACTTAAGATAGAATGATGTAGGAATTTGGATTCAGGCCCATTGTCTTACACTTGTGTATAACAGACACAGAGCTCTAAGAGAAACATCTAAGAAAAAGATCTAACAGTATCCACTCACAGGTGATGCTGAAATTAATTCATGTATTAATTTTCAATGCAAATGAATGTTTTGAACTAAGCTGGACCCCAAAAATGTAATTTACTCTTGGTGTAATCATACTGTAGATGTCCCGTTTGATATTATTACTAATTAACTAAGTGAAGGATGCTTTAAATGACAGATATCTAAGGCTGTCTTTTCTGAGGCTGCCTTTTTGTAACCTCTGTGAAACCACAAACCTCATTTGCACCACAAAACAGCAATCACGTGATAATGGTTTGGGACTGTAAAAGAGAAGAAGCCACAAGATTTGTGCTCCAGATCAGGTTTCAAGTGCCCTAGCAATCATGAGGTTCAGAACCCAGGGTTTGATTTGGCTCTAGGATAAAGGTAGAGAGAACATTTGGATTGAGATCTGGGACTGAAAATCCAATATCCAAATTTGAAGATGGTAGTTTAAGAGTAATGTTGTAGCTGTGATGGTTCAGAAATTATGTTGGAGGCAAAGATTTTTTTAGGGCAAAATCTTTTATTGGACCAGCTGCATAGTAGAGATAGAGTTAGACACAGTATTGAATGCAAGACATTCTTTATCAGCAGACCTGATTTGAAAGATATCACCCTGAGAAATCCTTGCCTTTCTAATCTGTAGAGGCATTTATATTCAGAGTTTTGCATTCAGAGTTTGGCTAACATAAATTACAGATTTGTGAACCAGCTCAGTTCAAACCAGCATAACCCTCTACTCTTGTTACTATTTTGTCCATTCCCAGAACCAATTCACAAACTGGTGAAAATCTTTAGAGATGTTTCTGAGACAGGTAGCTTTTTTTTAACCCTTTCCTTTAACCTCTTCCTGCCAGGAGAGAGAGATTCTTATAGGACTTGATTCTCCTCTTACTTAAGAGAGTGTCTCACCACTTGAACTCCACTCATTTCACCAGAGTTACTCTGATCTACACCAGTTGAAGTAATCAGACCCATGATACTTCTGTCCTGAAGTAAACCTCAGAAAATAGCAAGAGACATCAGAAGTCATGTGAGATTGGCAGATCCTGGTGGTAGAGAGAAGTATTCCATTTCTCAGGTGCTTCTCAGAACTAAACCCAGATTTCACAACCAGGGAAAGAATCAAGCTGGAAAAATCAGATCATTTTCCTTAAGTTTGAGTATTTTCAGATATGAGTTGCTATCCTCGCCCATTTCTGTTCATATCTTAGAGGTCCTTATGTAAGGAATGCACAAGAGGAAAATGAACCTTTTTGACTAATGCATTCTAACCATCTATCTGAATCAATAATTCACCTGGGCCAGCAGGTAGCACCAAAAATCACAGCTACATATAATTAGTTTGGGTCTCTGACTACATTAAAGTTCAGTTTGGTTCCAAAGACGGCAAATGCTTCAAACACACTTTCTAACTAGGTTGCTACAGCTTTGTCCTGCTTTAATTTTAATAAGTTATCCTGAAGAGGAGTAGCTGGATACAAGAACTGGAAAGAGAGGAAACCACTTGCTATCCACCATGTGTAGATGCTATGTACAGAAAAGGCTACCCAAGTCCCTAATTAGTAAAAGCTTTTGAAACACAAACTGAGTGATAAAGCTCTCTATACCTGTGATCCTGCGCGGTGTACTTCAGTAACTCTGCCAGCTGCAAGGGGTATTTGCAGATCTTCTGCACTGGTGTCAAAAGGAAACCATCTATGGCAATATCAATCATCTGCTGCAACAGACGACACGCTTCAAAGAAATGCTGGTACCTGCCATCTTTCATCAGCTTGGAGAGCTCCATGCATGCATCCAAGTGATTGTTACAGTACTCTGAGTAGATCCAGAACCCGTCTTGCTGTGAGAGGCAGGAGGGAAGAATGCATGCAGAGACACAGAGAGAAGAGAGGAGAGCACATCAGATAAACACTGGGAACAATCAACTGCTCAACTTGCTAACAAGAATAAATTAAAACAAATAAAAGAAAGATACCCCAGCAACCACAGGGAGGCCTAGTATTGGATTACTAGCATGCAGGCCTTGTACTGTTCTCTGTGAAGCACTCAATTAGCAGGTTTCTCCAGAGAAAGAATCCTTTACACTGACACTTGGTTGCAGGTGCATTTATGATGCATGCATGTAAGCAAGATTCCTTAGCAGAGTCAGGTAAGGACTCTCCATTTCAAATTAAATGAGGGGATTTTCTTTCTTTGAAATGATGAGGCTGATACTGAGTCACAGCTCTGATCTTTTGCTAATACAGAAATAAATAATAATAGCATACCGAGAGCAGGGCCAGGCCAATCTGTAGTTAGGGGGCCAAACTATGAGTGGGGTGATATATGGAAGATAGAGCCTATTGGCTGCTTAGATTCTGGTTGAAAAGGTAGGATGTGCAGAGCTAGCCCCTTCAGTGTGAAGCATGTAAATGCTTGCATGCACATGGATGCTGTTGCTCTCCTGGTATTAATCTAGGCAAAGCTGCCAAAATTTCAGGAAGGGGCTTTATGCTCAATCCAAAAAGAATATAAATCTCATTGTGGGCCTTCAAGTACAGTGGCATAGGTCACATGCAGCTCACAGAACAAGCTTTGCAAAGCCCCAGTCTACATGGTTTTCTGCTGGACAAACCTGAAGCTTTAAATAAATCAAGCCTACCTCTGCCCACAGGGGATGGGTTTAAACATCCTAGCCATACCAAAAGTGAAACTGAAACACAATGGGGGAACTGGACTTTCCCAAGTTATTTAGAGGAGTGTCAGAGGTAAAACCGAAGCTTAAGGGTGCCTATAGATGTGCTCATTAGAATTTTAATTAGAGCGCATTGGAGCAGACTGAATCGATCAAGTCTGCTCTGCATTCTAATTAAAATGCTCCAGCATTGCCTCAGCATCACGTGTATTAAGCACCCCACATTTCAAAATGGCCACTGGTGCTTTAACTAAAGCTTGTCAAATGAGCTTTAGCTAAAGCTCCCCTGCAGCCATTTCGAAATGTGGGGGTGGCTTAATACATGTGACAGTGAGCTGTTTTAATTAGAGCAGCTGTCTGGGAACTGCTCCAATTAAAACGTCCCGCCCCCACCTCCAACCACATGTATAGGCAGCCTAAATTTCTAGTTGTACTTGCTGGACACAAGACCTCTCCTTTCTCTTCTGTGTTAGCCCATCAAGTCTACTAGTACTAGGGTTTATGTGGGTTAGTGCCTAGAGGCCCTAACTCATTCTGCTGGACACTGTACAAATACATGGTAAGAGGCAGCCTTGCCTTGATGTTTTAGACCGGTAACACAGGCAAAGGGAAAAAGCCCCTTTGTGCTTTAAAATCCTCCTTGTAAAAGACTGCCCAGGACACTGGCAGACATGGAGATTTTTAGAGGCTGGATCCTGTATATTCACACTGTCTGGGAGGAAGAGGCAGCAGGCACTGAGACTTTAAGTCACTGGTTCTCAAACTTTTTAGCCTCAAGGCACCCCTTGGAAATGTCAGCTCTTAAGTTTCACTCTTTTTTTTTTTTACTACAGGAAGAAAACAGAGCAATTCTTCTGTTGCAAAGGACTCAGAAAGATCACCATAGGTCAGAATGGTTTTGACATTGTGGATTCTTATTTGAAATCTCTGGGTTCATCTTGTGAATCATGTTTGCATACCTACCAATGCTAACATTGTGTGGCACCCCACACCACCCTTGAAAACTTTTCAAGGCACCCTACAGTGCCTCAGCGAGCTGACTGAGAACCATTTCTCTTTCAAGGGCTCTTGAAGAGCATGTGAGTTCAAAGGGCCTAGGTCCCAGGTGGAAGGCAAACTCCTCCCCTGTCATAATCATGTGGGGAGGCTTTCAGGAGCAGACTAGCCTGGTAACCCAAGGGAGAGCCTACCATTCTGTGGTATGGGTTATCCAATCTGCTTCCTTATCTGCAGATTTCCCTGTAACATCTAGGCCCCAGGCCTAAACATATAAATGAGGGATGATGCTATTACAATATAGCCCCTCGAAAATAAGGATGCTCTTTGATTAAAAGACCAGTGGCACTTAAGGGAAGTGAGTGGTGAGTGCTTTTAATGATATCCCATGAAGTTTTATTACTGTCTACAACGAGTTTCTCTAATAATAACTGAAGTGTTGCTGATGTGAAATGTAGCTCAGCCCAGCCATGACTGTAAGTAATGAAGTTATACATAAAAGGATCTGTATCCTGGATCACAGCACCTCTTACATAAGCTCCGATTTAGCACTTCATTCTCCCTAAAGGAAAGCCTAAAAAAGCAGAACTGTAATTTTCTTGACATTTCCTGACATATTTACAACACTGGCCAATTTATCAGCTCCCATAATATATGGCTTATGTAACTGGCAAGATGGGGTGGGCTAAACGCTCCAGGGCTATATTGTCAGCTAAAATGTCCTATTCAGTGTATGTTTAGCATGAGTAAGCTATCTGCTGCCTTGCTGTCATTCAGGCAGCATGAAGCATTGCCTTGTACCCTCCCATCCAGCAGAGAAGCAAAGTCACAAAAGGAGCAGTTGGGAGGATATATTTGGCTGGGTTTTTATTCCTTACTAATATACCTTGTTGCTAGTCAAGGATGTGTGTTTTCTACTCAGTTGGGAGGCAGTTAGAAATGCCAGAATGATGGTGATTTTTTCTCCTGTTTAACCAAACAACTGGTGCTCTTGTCATACATGGGTTTGAGAGCAGCTTAAGACTTATTTTTAAAACCATTTTTCAAAAACAACCTATCACACGATGAGCCAGATATTTGCAAATTGCTTCCACAGAGCTAAATCTCAGGTGTACCATAACTTGAGGAACAGAGACATAGGAATTGCCAGTTACGATCAGATCAAGAGTTCATCTCCGACTGTGGCCAGGACAAGCTGCTTCAGATGACAGTGCTAGAAACACTGTGTAGAAGACCAGTATGGAATAACACGCCTATAACGTTTTTTTTCCCTGACTCCTAGTAGATATATGCCACCTAATGCCCCAAATTTTGAGGGTTTCTACCCTCTCCAAGAAATCTTTGTGATTTTTTTACTGCTCTAATTAGTTTTACTATAATTATAAAGGTGTCAAGCATGGAGGTTTTTGAGTAATTATATCATGGCCACCATCATCAGTGCATATGATAAAATAATACATCTCTTATGGCAAAGTTCTATAACAATTCAACAGACAAAGAAAATGTGGGGGTTAACATTTCCAAATCATGCTATAAAATTTAAGAATGAAAACGTATATCCCCTGGATGGTTTTAAAAGTAGGAAAGATCTCATTCTTTATCAAATTTCTTAAGAATAGTTTCTATAAAGCCGTACTCTATATCTGTGTAACCCTACTGCCTGAAACCCTATTAGATTAACTTATACCTCTCCAAGAGGGATATCAATATTGTCTGCTGTTGCAGTTATACAGGATATTTTGATCTATATATATCAAAATTCACTCTACGAAGATTAGCTAGTCCAATCTTGCCAACCTTCTCCTCAGATAACTATTGTCTCCATTTTGTAGAAAGGGAAGCAGAAACACAAGGGGATACCTAACCTCATAGGGATAAATGGAACCAAGGAACAGAAAAAGAAACAGTGTAGGGTTTGAGATATCAATTTTATCAAACAAAAACATCTTTTTTCCAAACTCAGAAACAGTTGGCAGACAGAGCATTCTCCCCACAGTTTTGAGGTTGTGTGGTTTGGGTTGTTGCTGCTGTTGGCTTTTGTTTGATTTTTTAAATAAAACTAGATAATTAAATTATTTTTGCTTCTTTCTCTCGCTCAGGTTACTACTTTTCCTTCTTTTCACTCTTGTCTTGCTTCAGTAGTAAATTGAGAAAAGAAGAGGAAGGAAAAAGGGGGAAGTGAAGGAAAGAAAACCCCCCAAAAGTGAAAACTCAAACTTTTCTAAAGTAAAAATTTACAATTAAAACTTGTTTAAAATCATTCCTTTGGTTAAATATGAAGAATTAAAATATCTTCAGACATTTAGAATTGCTTCACACAAAAAAATTCCATTTCTGAACAGCTTTACTCAAAGATCCTGACCCACAGGGCCAAATTCAGAAATGATGCAAAGGGGCAGTAAGTTACACTTCCTTGTATTAACTTGATCTCCCTTATTTCCTATGATGCCTGTATCATCATGAGTGAATGGAGTCCCTGTTGGTGTAAATTATAGCCCGAGGAGCCAGGAAAATGCATCTGTTCTTTCTTTCAGCAAGGCGCATGCAGTGTAAGATCAACTTAGACTCCCTTACACTCAGTTGAATTAATGGAAATAGACTGATGAGATCTGAATGTAAGAGGTCACTTATAATCTTATGCTTCACTTCTGGGTTTGCCCCATACCGTATCTCACAATATCAAGTAGTCTTCAGACTGTAACCTGAGAAACTTGCCACCCAAAACAATGAACACCAATTAATTTCTGATTGCCCTTGCCTTTCCATTCCTTCTGCCTCAAAAACTTACATGTTCCAGGAAGCAAGGTCCAATTTCACTGAGGTGGGGGTCCTCATTGTTATACTGTTTCTCCAAGTCCCGGACAAAACCCATCTGAAACCTATAGATATCTTCAATGTTGCCAAATATGACCTTCAACTGCTCATCGCTGAACATGTCTCTCCTCTTCCGGCACTGCTTTAAATAACCCTGCAGAAAGAAGGAAAAGGAATTAATAACATTACTCAAATACTTACAGTCTCAAGACACTGGAAATAGCAACTGGCAGAAAGATACATCTTGCTATGGGTAAGAATAAGAAAAAAAGACCCCTTGGGTGAGCAAAGCATGAATAAAAACTGAGTCAGGACTTAGTCCTGAGGGCAAAATCCACCTGTGCTCCCTGACTTTCTCCTTCTCCTACTACACCCATGCATGAGCTAGATGCAAGACAGACCAAGTGGTCCCTTGAAACTCTGTGGCCCCCTGAGGGTACAGAAAGACTGTTTTGGAACATGGCAAGCACTATACCACCCATAAGGGCTTCCGAGACTTGGTCAGGTGGTGCTGTAGTGTCTGCTGTTCCATACATAAATAAGTGTAAGGAAGGCCACAGGGAACTCCCCTCTCAGTCCCTGCACATTTTCCTGTACTCATTGCACGAAGGAAGCATTCCTCAGAGCAAACCAATCATCTTAATACTGTCTTTATTAGTGCTGTAGTGGGGAACAGAGCCACAACTGGTCCTTAACAGTAAAGAGATCTGGCCACACCTTTCTGCCACTGTCTCAACCCTCAAAAATCACTGCTGTACAAACAAATCCATTATCTATGCATCCTAGTTGCGAACACGTGACCCAAGGAATCACGTGCGCCCACTGAATGGATCCCCGTGCTCTCATTTCAATGGGCACACCATGTTACCACGATGATCACAATGGTGTGTTTGATTGACTGGCCAGTCATTCCTTTTTGTAGCTCAAAAATTTACAAGTTCAGCATGAGGAAGTTGCCAATCAAGTGGCAGAATGCTTGATGACTGCCTGATCACATAACCTTTTTCTTGAGTGGGAGCAGAAGAGCGCACAACACAGCTGTATTTCCTGTTGTCCCAATACCGAGCGAAGGCAGCAGAAAACTGTGGGCAGCCAAAGGCAATGGGCCACCTCTCCAAATCTCATGAAGCTTCCCCAGTTCAGAATGATACATGGTTTATTTAACCCACCATTATTTATTTGCTGATGTATCAGCACTAAAAGCAGGTGGTCTGGCTGCTCTAAAAATGTCATTGTGTGGGAATTCTGAATGCTAAAAAACAGGTTCCACGCAGGCTTGGTTTACTGGATGCCTGACTTGGGAAAGCAGTGGTTAAAGGCCATCGATTAAATGTCATAGAAGAAAAGCAAAACAGCACCATTCTACTTTGTCTCCCACTTTTGTTTCTCTTTCCCATATTGTCCCCAGTTACATCAGTACTTTAAACTACTGGGGAGGCATCAGTATAACTGATAGGAGGATTTTGTTCTCTAGTTTTTCAATTATTGTCTTATTATTAAATAATCATTTATTATATGTGTTATAGTATTAGTATTATTGTTATAGTATTGCCTAGACTCCTAGTTGTGGTTGGGCCCCATCATACGTCCCACAATACATACATATGCTAAGATAGTCTCCACACTGAAGAACGTACAACCTAATTAGACAAGACAGGAAAAGGGTGGACAAAAGAGGAAGAATTGTTTTCTTAGATGGGGAATTGTGGTGCCGGGAATATAAATGGCTTTCCTAAATCAGAGACTGAAACTGGGATAGAGAGTGGGAAACTGAACCCAAATCTCTTGAGTTCCAGACCAGTACATCTACAAGATCATCCCTTCATCTTTTCCCTATTCCTATTCATCATCATCATCATCAGTAGCAGCCATATAATAACAACAACAGCAACAATAAAAATAGGTAGTACTTAATGACTGACTGAGAATGAGGCCTAGAAACTGTCTATGTCCCAAAAAGCTTACAATATAAATAGACAAGCTGGACACAAGATTTGGGAAAGGATACAGTGTACTAGACTCTATTTGCCTCCCTACTTATAGATCTTTCTTTCTTCCCAATCCACTAAATTAACCTTTTGGTTTCTTCTGAAGCACAATCAAATCCAAATAATTGCCTAGAACAGTCTTCTCTAGAGTTCAGGGCAGTTAAGCTTGAGCCAGGAGAAGTGTACTTTTTCTGACCCTATTATATGACCTTGAGCATATCCCTTTGCCTCATTGTGTCTATTTTTCCTCCATCATTGTTTTTCTCTTGTCTGTTTAGACTCTAAAATCTGCAGGCCACAATATATAACACAATGGCGCCCAACCTCAATGAAGCCTCCAACAACAATAATACTGGGACCTCACAAGATGATCGTATTGTTCTTTACTTCACAAAGGGTGGAAGACATCAAGAGAGTGAAATTCTAGAAGTTCCACTGGAACAGCTCACTTTGGGAACTGTGGCTGCTGAGTCACCCCAAGCTGCTGTTAAACAATACAAAATATTCAAAAGATATAATATAGCACCCTTAAGGTTCACCATGCAGCTCCTCAGAGGAAAACTTTCAATAGATAATCACATTTGTAACTTATTTCTGTCCATGTTGATGATTAGTGACCAATTTCCTGACAATCCAGTTTAACTAATACCACATCAGTCTTTTGTAAGGATCTTGTTTCTCTTTCTTAGCCTAGGAGGGTTTTATTATAGAATCCCTAATGTAGTTAACGAATCCGGGCTTCTACTCATTCAGGTGCCTCCTTTGGAATTCCTTGATGATTCGTATCTTGGATTTACCCCTCTCATTCTAATTTTAAAAAGGCATGATCAGGAACATCCTGATCTGCAGTCCTGCAATTTTTAAAATACAGTAGTTGCTCAGCAAATAAATAATATTAGTCAGATAGAAACCAAGGCATTTTTTGCAATAATATTTTGCCTCCCATCTGAAGATTGTAAAACACTCTGCAAATATCAGCTCATGTTTGCATCTTCCCCTGACTCTTGTGAAATACAAACACATTGCGAACCTTGTTTTAGACATGGAGGCTGAGGAACAGAAAAGTTAAGTAACTCTTCCAGGGTAACATAATGAGCCCATGTCAGTCGGAAACCAAACCTAAATTACCTAACTTGCAGACCTGTATTTTAACTACCAGATCTGACCTTCCCTTATCTTGTTTCACTTTAGAGCAGCTGTGCATGCAGTGGAAGGTAACACTGCCGTCTGCATGCTGTGACTTCTGTGAAGTATGAAGAAATTTGGTCTTTGGCTTGGTACCTCGGTGCACACACTAGCTGCGCTCTAATGTGATATGCAAAATAAAAACTGGTTAATATAGCAAATGCCAAGATGTCACAACCTATCACAGTCCTGTGATGAATAAGCATCAAGAGCTGATGAACACCTACAAATTAGCCTTGACTGAAAAACAACTGTAAAAAATAGCACTGCTGAATTCCAAGTGTATTGTGGTTCAATGATTCCAGTACCTTGTTTGCCCAGCAGGTATTCCCATCCCATGCACCATCACCAGTAATACAAGTTCAGGAGACCAAATTATATCTTCAGTGACCTCTGGGTAGCCCCATTGTCTCCAGCAGTCTTGCAGAGGTTCAACTGATTGGAAATTAATCAACAACTTAGCCGCTGATGCAGAAGAGGGAATAGATTCCATCTTGCCTGACATTAGCCACATTGGCTCTGCAGTGTTAACAGGAGTAAAAAGCAGTCAGATCTCACATTGCCACTACTGCAGATGTGATGCTAAATATCCACAGGGAGCTGAGCTGTGGGGAACCGACCTGTCAGTTTTCCATTTAACTGCTTTAGGGTGTAAAAGTTTCTAGAAATAAAATGTGTAAAGCAGCAAATAACTCAGAAATGAGTTCACATTTTTACAGAAATGTCCCTGAATAAAGCGTTTTCCTCAATGTTTCAGGTAAAAGCCCTTCAAAGGATGGTCCTCTAGTCTAGGATAATTGACTGTAGGAAAGATAGCATGAGGAGACAGGTTCTATGCAAAATGCCTTTCACTGATAAAAGAACACATTTCCTCAGGTTACTAGTAAAGGCAGCTTATCTAATTGCTGGTGCTATAAACTCTTTGGGACAGAGACCATCATTTATTCTATGCATGTTCCCAAGCACAAGAGCTAGGGATAGAAATTACACATAAATCAATATAAGCAATCAGAAACTAGTTCAAATCTGTAACACAACAGAAGTTCAGTACACATAAACCACTTTCAAAATGGCCAAAACTGGTTTAAGATAAACCTGGATGAATGTAGTATCAGATTTAATTGATGTAGTATCAGATTTAATTTAAGTTAAATCAGTTTTTTGAACTTCTGCCCCACATTGTCTCCATATTCAAGTTAACTCACAGTCTCCCAGCATCCCAAGATGCTTTGCACCTCCCCACAAATCCCCTCCTCCTAGGATGGATGGCCAAGCAGGGAAGCATGCTCTATAGCCCCCCACCCGCTTCTGGCCCGAGCAACTGCAGACACGTGGCTACATTTCCAGAATCCAAAGTGAATGTCGGTCCACTTGCTTATCAGTTCAATCTATGCATTTTAGACTAATTTGCAAAGATTGAATTAATTCAGCCTCAGGCTTTTTGACTGTCTGTACTTAGCCAAGGAGGCTCAAGATGGCTGAGACCTTTCGATGGTATCCCCACACATGTTAAAGAGAAATAGACTTCATCCTGACATCTAAGTCTAAGTGGGTTTTTCTGGCTTTTGCACCATGGTTGGCCGCCCGTAGTGCATTATTTGTTGCAAAATAGTAAAAAAATTAAACTTGTTTGTTTGTTTGTAAATTATCTGTGCAGAGGCCCACCCACCACCCCCTCCTTAACAAACTTTGATTTTTTAAACCATTCCATGGACAAATATGCAAATGAGGTTCAGGCTTGGGATTGCTATTTGCTACCATCCTGAATATTCCCCCTCCTTTGTGTCACAGCTTGCCTAAGTCACATGCTACTCGGAAGCTGAAGCAGCACATTTCCATATAGATGTCTATCAAACTGTAAGGAAAATAAACAAATACGTATCCTAAGTTCCCAAGCCTTTGCTTTGTATTCAGTTTGTGCATTTGGTTGGTTGGTTTCCAATGTGAGTGAGCAAATGGAAGAGCCAGAAGATTATATATA